TTTTTTTTTTTTTTTGCGGTACCAGGGATTGAACTCAGGACCTTGCACTTGCCAGGCAAACACTTATTCTGCTGAGTTATCTCCCTGGCCCAATAAAACATTATATTGTTAAACTGTCATTACAAACATTAGTAGAAAAACTCTGAGGTTAAGAAAAGTTTTAGAAATTGGTTGAAAATAATGAGTTCCTAAAAGGTTTTTTGAAAGCCTTAAATACAAAAGGGTATATTATCGACGAACTACAATGTAGTCCTAGATATTTCCATTTGGTTACACATTTATTAAATTATTTTATTATTTTAATACTTTTCTTCAATCACTATAGTTTAAGTCATGTAACTCTAAAAGCCTTTGTCCCTGCCAGAAGTGTAAAGTTGAAAATACTAAGCTTTGAATTTCTTGACAAATAGCTCTATATGTAATAATTTGAAGAAAATTTTTCTACTCTGACATTTTTGATCCAGATTCTTCACAAGTATGTGTGAAGAATAAAATATTTGATTTAGATACGCTTACAATATAAATATGGGTAGACTTCGACACCTTCAGTAAATGAAGAACACCTACATTAATTAAACTACCCAATGAGTTAAAGCAGAGATTGTTTTAATATTGGATAGAAAATCAAAAGTGCATTGTTTATCAAAAAAAAACATACACTGAGTTCAGTTCCATCTGCTAAGCTGTACTTAAAGTTGACGCCAAGATCAAAAACAATTTCAATAGTTCGAAAAGCACTTGATTCTTTCACTGTGAATTTATTTCCTTCTTGTGTGATTGTCAGTTTCAAATTGTCATGAGCTGCAAGCTTCCTTTTCACTATGTTGACACCTGCAGGAGGAAAGACATGGGAGAAAATAAAAGCACTCTAGCAATTGTTGGTTTTTCTAAGTTCTATTTACTTGATTATTTTTATTTTTTAAGAGTGGGAAAAATTTAGGAATAAATTTTAGGAATAAAAATTTAGGAATTTGCACATTGGTACAAATTTGCTAGTATGTGAATGTATAAATTCCTTGAATTTAAACTTGGAATCCTTAAACTATAAGATTAAATTGATGCAGAGTTTTATTTAGGAAGAATGATACTGACTTGTTTGCCCTTGTACAGTATGTAGACTGTCAGAACATTGTTATAAATTCATTAAATAGTTAAAACTTCCCCAAGAAAATACATAGCTTCTTGAATTGATTCCTAAAATTTTATATGTCATGGGATAATAGAATTTAACCAATATAAAGCAATGAATCTATATAGAATACCTTTACATTATTTTATGATTTTTGCTTTTCCATCTCCTAAAATTCTACATTTTAGAATCTGAAAATTATCATTACCATGTTCTTACTCTGAACAAATGAAATAAAAAGTTTTCAATAACGCAGGTGTAATCCACAGCTGAAGAAGGAAGGAAATGTGTGTGTGTGTGTGTGTGTGTGTGTGTGTGTGTGTGTTTCAGAGGATGATACTCAAAGAATCTTTCCTTCCATGAGTCAGACAGTGTCTTCTTGCTAATGCAAAAAGGGATCCCCATCCTGCTTCCAGAGCCTCACTACAGGAGAAGCCAGGAAATTCCCCAAGCCAAAAAAATGCCTCTGGGAAATTATATTCCCTAAGCCAGAAAAAGTTTGTGTGAAAGCAAAGAACGAGCTCCCAAGGAAAGCAGCAGCTCCTTACCCATTTTTTCCATGAACTTGTCATAGTTCTCACTTCGGTCTACTTTCCAACTACCATTAAATGTCATGATTGCAGTTGAGACAGGCTTAAGGGAAGTAGCATTGCAGTCCTGTCATTGGGAGAGAATTTATTCTATTTCTTATCTTAGAACCAACTTCATATTGTGATGTGGAAGTTCAAAGTTCCAGAGGTCACCTGACCACTCTGCACTCAATCACTTTAGTTTCTCTTTGCATAATTTTTATATCTTCTGAAATTCAACTGAACTAAAACTGGAGAAGTATATCTATTGCATCTTAAACTACAATTTGTGGACTTATTTATTTCAAGAATTAGAACTATCTGGAGATAGTTTTTCTGCCTGCAAGCTCAAAGTAAACACTCTATTGGAGCTAAATTTGCAGCATATATCAAATAACATGGGGAGTGAGTGTACTTACCTATCTCTTTTTTATGGTTATCAATTGCCTTGTAAAGTCAGGCTTTATAATAAATGCAGTTGAAAAGCTGAATTTAATGTAATTATTGAGACTGAAATTTTCTTTTCATTTGTTTCTAGATTATTAAAGTTAACCTAAGAGTCAGCATATATTTTTAATGTGTAAAATTCACTGCTTTTATATTTATTCACAATTTATACAGCTATCACCACTATCATATTCCTGAATATGACATATTCCTGGTTCATCATTCAAAAAGAACTTCCAGGAGGGCTGGCCAGATAGCAAATTAAAGCTCCTGCTTAGGCAGATGCAGGGACCTGGGTTTGATCCCTGGTGTGCCATGCTGGCCCCACCGCTGGGGCATGCTGAGGCAGTGATGAGACTGGGCATGGTGGTATGCGCCTGTAATCCCAGAGCTTGGGAGGCTGAAAACAGGAGGATCACTATGAGTCCGA